TAAAAAAAGAAATACTCTCAAAGCATGTCTCATATCTGTATGCCGTTTTTCTATTCAAGGTGGTTTTTTCACCAGCTGCTCTAATATCTGTCCCTTAACAGGACAGCATGAACATTCAGGACTATTAAGAACATTTCCAGAAAAAAACGAAGAGGCCCAGTGAGGATTTTTGTCAAGGCTTAAGGAACAGTTTTCATTGGCATAAAAAACCCCAAATTAATAATACATAGTGACACAGGGAGCCAATTATGTGTAATTCTGTGTTCCCACCTGAATACCTTCCATGGGGTCGGTAGCATCTTCCTTGCGACACCCTTGCTCTCCAGAGACGAAAGCACAGTATCATTTCAGAGCCCATTGGGAAGCACCTGGGATTCTACTTTCCACCATCACTATATTAAATCCCCGGTGCTGACTGCAGAGGTCAGCCAGCCCCGGGGGGCCGGTGCCTCTCTGCGAGGGAGCGCAGCTGGTGAGAGGCCGGCGGGCGTGCCACGGCTCACAGCGTGCCCGAGACAGCAGCATCGCTCCCACTAGGATGCTGGACTGCAGCCTGGCATCAAAGGCGGATAGAAAACCGTCCTCCACCCTAGGACTCAGTGTCCCCTTCCCCTCCCTGGGAGCAGCCTCCTGCAGCAGTGCCACTGCTTCACGCCAGGGGCTCCAGCTGCAGCGAGGTGCTGCCAAGGGCTCGCACACATTTCTTAGGAGGTAAAGTGTCCTGCTTGAGCGACCAGGAGACATCTGAAGTACAGCTGGTATCACTTGGCATTTCATAGTTACAGGTCTCTTGGGGAAAAAAAAAAACAAACCACAAAACAAAACAAAAAACCAAAACTGCAACAAAACACAAACCAAACCACTCTGCTGCGATCCAGCAGAAATCAAATCCTCCTCGGCGGCAGCAGCTCAAGGGGGACGGATGGCTGGAGGAGAGTCAGGCGTGCCTCCTCCCCTGCTATGGACCATTTGCCACAGGTTTTCAGAAGCACATTTTGCAGGCACTTTTCCCACTGCAACCTTCAGACCCTTCAGACAGACAATAAAATAAGCAAGTGAGAGGCGTAGTGCCTTGGGCGAGGACAGCGATGAAGAGTGGGGTAAAGACAGCTGTGGGAGCAGTGAGGCAGCAGGGGAGGAAGGCAATGAGGACACAGACACCTGTGCCTGCATTTCCCAACCTAGCAAGTACCAAGCTTTACACAGATGCACAAAATGCAGCAGAGCGATGTGACTGTGGGTGATAGAAGCAGTGGCTTTTCTCCACACCGAGATGGTCAGCCGAAGCCCGATGTCGGGACAAATGTAGAGGTTTTCTTTTACTCGTAGGGAAAAATTCACAAGGAGTGGAAGTTAACCCACAATAGCTCCTTCCAGGGAAATCAAACTGCTTCCAGATGCTGCTGATTCGTCTGTTGATGAAAATGAATAGGCTTTTTGATCTACTGAAAAGTGAAAAGCAGCATCACTGAAGTGCTCCAAAGAATACGATCGCCAAATAGGTTAAACAGCTTGTGCCTCTTTTAATGGAAATATGACATATTTATACACATATACACAGTGGAGTACAAAGGGTTAGAAAACAGGCTTCATTTTCAGCCCCTAATTCTAACATACTGTATGTTAATCCCTGAGACCACCTGTCAGTTGTATGTCTCCTGCAAGTGACACTGAGTTACAAATTCAAGTGTTCACCTGCAGCACAGATTGCTTTTCAGATCCTGAATCCGAATGCTAAATCTTCAGTACGCTGGGCTGGCAGTAAACAAAAATTAACAGTTAAACCATTCAATCCAGTGTATCAGCTCAAAATCCATCCTGATATCTTTGCGACAGACAGCTAAAAGATTGTCTTCCTATGCTCCAAAGAAATGAGTTCACCTTCTACTCTGGTCACACCAAATCCATTACCAGATTGGTGCCTATGAATTGCCCAGCACTGATGCACTTGCAGACTAAAATCCTCTTTATATTCACAGGGCTGGGGAGGTTTATTAACAGGGTGTATATTCATAGAATCATAGAATGGTTAGAGTTGGAAGGGATCTCAAAGATCATCTAGTTCCAACCCCCCTGCCATGGGCAGGGAATCCATTCCCTCAACTCTGACCTGGGAGGCTACCTGGCACTGCAGTCTAGCCAGCACAGCTACTCCAGCGAGAGGTACAAAGAGGAGGCTGCTTGGAAAATCCTTGTTTCACACGTCTGCCACAGCCTCTGTCAAGCCCCCGACCCCGCAGCCGCTGCCCAGCAATACCAATCTGGGCGCCAGTTTCCAATCAACTGAATTTATTTCTCTCACGACACGCACGGTTTCATTACAAGTTCAGTGAGACCGCGGCCAGCCTTTGTGCCGTGGGAGTGAAGGACGGCAAAGCTTTCCCTCGCTTTAATTGAAGGGAGAAGAAGCAGCAGCTGGGGCCCGCCTGGGCTCCAGCACAGCAACGCCATCAGGCATGTTTCATTCCAAACGGGAGCAAAACCTGAGCAAAAACATAGCCTGAGCATGTGCTGCATGACTTGCTGTTTGCGTTTGACCTCTACTTTTATGAAGGTGGTCTTTCTTCAGTTAAGCGATGGGTTTTCCGCCCTTCCTTATTGGAATTTGCCAGGGTTTGGCATGCCGATCAGACCAACTGACTGCTGGGAAAACCAAACGAAGCCTTAACGTGGGCCACAAGAACCTGCAGCAACCTGTGGGAACTGCCACTTTGAGATGCACTCGTGTACTAGGGAAGCTTTTCTCCCAGTGTTGAGACAGAGGGGTGAGGTACTGCCCTCTCCGGGCACCCAGAGGTGTGCTACCAAAGCTCACAGTGACATCTGGCCATGGTGCCCAAACCTCAGTGGCCGAGCTGCCTGATACTGCGTCTCTGACTGGATGTTCATAGCATATGGCTGGACTTGATACCTGGGAAGATTGCTTGAACTTCTGGAAGCTGCATAATTTTCCTATCCTAGCTGTAGTATGGAAAGGCTCACAATAAACCTGGTGGTTTGTGTTTTTTTTTTTAACAGGAACTTTAATATCAACCTAAAAAAAGGCCCACCTGTAGCTCACCGTCTCCCTTATTTCACAGTTAAATGCAGTAACAAAAAATTCCCTGAGACTAAAGAGGAGACAACAGATAGCAGATACAGGGAAGCTTAATGGGGGAATCAATTCCTAGGTGATGGTGGCATTCAAAAATTAGCTCAGCTTCTCTGTTGCTCCTAAGAGACCAATCCGTGTCCCTGATTTATACCTGCAGAGGATATGAATACCTCAGCTACAGAAATATTTCATATACAGCCCTTTTTATAGTCAACAGAACAAACAATAGCATTAAGAACTGCATCCATACAGACTGGATAGAGCTGTACAATTTAATACTTGTCCTGTCTTAAACTTTGATTCCTGGAATTAAAATAAAGTGCTTAGTATATTCAAAACAATTGTAGACCTGGATTTTCACTGCCCACCTGCGGAGAAGGGATTTGGAGAAGTACTGTCATTATTACTATAAAACCTTGCAATATGTCTACCTAAGCAAGGAGAGGGAGGAATGTCTACTGTCAAATGCATGGCTCCTTAATTTTGTCCATTACAAAATGAACAAACACAAAATACAATCCTTTAACACCCGTGTTGTTTTTCAAGCTCTTTCTCAGCCATTCACCTGGAACTGGAAAAAAAGGAAACCACAAAAGGTTTAAAAACCACTTAAAACTTCCTATCAACAGCAGGCAGGTAAAGACTTAGTAAGTCTTCCAAAATACTTTCCTGCTCCACCATCAGACGCACTGTGGCCTAGCCCTTGCCCTGTTTCTGCACCTTAAAGGCCATTATTCAGTATTCCAGCTCCATGAGCAGCAGGCACGCACGAAGGCATGCAGCCTGTTATCTTGCTCAGATAACAAGACTAACGTCTCTAACACCTTCTAAGCAACTGCCTTTAAATCAGGTCCTGCATCTGGCTGGGGACACCTGCCTCTGCCTTTGAGCCTCTGCTGCTTTCTTCTTCTCCTGTTCCTCTGCCTTCTTCCGCTCCTCTTTCAGCTCCTTGTATCTCCATTTGGGAATCTGCAAATAGGGGTCATCCTTTGCACTGCTCCTCCTTCTCGCCTTTTCTGGCTGGAAGGTGGGTGGAGGAGCCTTGCTGATACGGACTTTGGGGATGACAAATCCCGGCCGGACGCTGCTCCGTCTAAGCAGGTGGAGCGGCAAGAGGCTTGCTTTTCTAGTGGCTATGGTGTTCACTTGAGAGACTGCAAGGCTGATAGGCTGCAGGCTGGCTCGACGGTCCCTCTTCTTGGAGATCAGCGTCACTTTGGAGTTCTGAAATAGCTTCTCATAGCTGCTAAAGTGGTCTTTGTCCTGAGATCGGATCTCCTCGGCTCTCTGCTTCCTAAGGATTTCTTGCACAGCCAGCCTGCGTTTCCCCACAGAAGGTGGACTGCCTGGGCACACCGTCCGGCACGACAGAGCGATGAAAGGACTGCTCAAGCTTGTTGTCACCTTCACCATGTGATCAAGGACCCCGTCTTCTTCCGGGCCGTAGAAGGACCGGAAGGAGACAGCTGCCCTCACGCACTCAGAAATCCTCTGCAAACAGCTTTTTGGCTCTGCAGCCTTGGCAAGAAGTTCCTTCATCTTTGGCCATTCTGGTTTATATTGATCACAAAACTGTTCCGGGCACGGCCTGTCCATCAGCTTTTGCATGATGAAGGCGCATTCTGATCTTCCTGTGTAACAAGCCCATTCCCATGAAGTCAGTCCACGGCTTGGGTCAGTCGCGTGAACATTGGCCCCTCAAAGAAAAGAAAAACAATTAGTGTTAATTAATGAAACTGCCCACGCTTTTGTTGCTATGCTCAGAGTCGAATGAGGCAGATCTCTGCAAGAAAAAGTCGCATACGACACACTATAATATTTGTGTCAAAATGAAAGTGCAATAAGGAGAGATTAGGGTTCTTTACTTTCTGAACTCCTACTTTATTTACAAAAATAATAAAAGCAATTAAGAGTGTATACATGAAATTCTCTTAGAGCAATGCAAAGAATGACATAATGAATTTCAACCACACTGAATGTTGCCTGCCATTTTAAAGTCCGTTCACTCAGGCTCGTAAGAAAAGAGCGACAAATACAGAAATAAACTATTCTGTACACAAAATCTTTCACACAGAATAATGGGTTTGCACAGCTTGCTGCCACTCAGAAGAGAGATCTTGGGCTAATGATCACAAGTTCCATGACAATACCAACTCAGTGCTCACTAGGGGCCAAAATAGCAAATAAAATACATGGAATTTCTAGAAAAGCATTAAAAAATAGAGAAAAAATAGGGGGGGGAAATATAGAGAAAACACCAGGTGTACAATGCAGGCTCTCATCTCTGAGAGGACACTGTAGAATTTGGGATAGTTGAGAGGATGGTGACGAGAGTGATCAAATATAAGGAAAGTTTCCATACATGTCGGAGAGTGCATAATGAGTGAGATGGACCTTCAGTCGGAGCCCATAATCATAGAATCATAGAATCATAGAATGGCATAGGCTGGAAGGGACCTCAGAGATCATCTAATCCAACCTCCTTGTCATGGGCAGGGACGCCTCTCAACTAGATCAGGCTACTCAAGGCACCGTCCAACCTGGCCTTGAACACCTCCAGGGAGGGGACATCCACCACTTCTCTGGGCAATTTATTCCAAAGTTTTACCACCCTCGTACTGAAGAATTTCTTCCTAAAATCTAATCTAAATCTGTTCTCCTTCAACTTAAACCCATTTCCCCTTGTCCTATCAGTGGACACTCTTGTAAAAAGTCCCTCCCCAGCCTTCCTGTAAGTTCCTTTCAGGTATTGGAAGGCAGCTATTAGGTCCCCCTGAAGTCTTCTCTTTTCAAGGCAGAAAAGCTGCTTCATCTACCTTAAATAGACACCCCTGAGGAAATGAAGTAATTGTTAGCAAAAACATGCTATTATCACCAGTGGACCAGCCATAAGACACATGCTAGACATTTGAAGTACAGTGTTAGGTCCTGGAAGGAAATGATTTCTAGTGGTTATTATCTTTCAACCTGCCCTCCCTCCATTCCCAATTTATGATCTTTATCCGTCCAATTCTGACATCTGTCCCTATCACCATTCTTTCTTCTCACATACATCTGCAGCCTTTTCCAGCTTTGCCTTCCTTTTGATCTCTCCATGTTCCTATAAGCCCTCTCACTTGGGCTTCTGTCCTTGTTCTTCACTCTTTCAAGTGGACTTACACTCTTCTCCTCCAGAGCACCTGCCTGCCTGAAGAGGGGATACAAGAGTAAGGGGAGGAGCAAGCATCTGCTCTACTCTGCTCTACTGTACCCTTTACAACTTCTGCAGTACTATATGCAATGCTGCCACATTCTCTGGCAACCAGAAAATTGCAGGGAAGTCCTCTTAGTTCTGGTATTAGGGTGGGAGCACGGGCATTTGTCAATAAGGATGGCATGTGCCTAGTTCTGTTCACACAGAGAGCTCTGTAAAGACAGAGTGCACCTTTGGAAGAATTGCTACAGAACGATGAGCAGCAACAAGTGTTTTTGGCAGCTGAAGTCAGCAAGACATGGTTGCAAACACCCAGCACATAACAGCTGGTGAATGCTAAAGCGTACAAAGGATCTGGCCAAAAACTAGCTTGGTGTCGCCCATCAAAAAGAATCTCGGACATGTGTCGAGGACTTGACAGCCACCATCATATCATCTGCATTGCACCCAAGTGATCCTAGGCATACCACCTGGGCACACACATCTTGATGTTTCAGAGTATATGGGTATGTGGGTGAATGAATGAAATCAATAGGAGAATGAGTACGAGTGAATACTCTGGTTTCAGGCCGTCACATTCTTAAACTGAAAATCCTTTCTTTTGTATTCTGCCTTTAGATTTCGGCTGATCTCAGAGGGAGCTTTGCATGCCCCAGGATGTGGACTTTGTTCAGCATCCCTGCAGCACATTCCCTGGGACAGACACGGGCACTGTGCCCAGCTGCTTTCAACACAACTTTGCTTCTTCACACTCAGCTGTGGTTTACACGTATCACTGGCCCTTTAGATAATTTCTGGGTTTCTTG